TAATTGTTAAGATGAGTTTTTGACTAAAAGCCGAACTCCTTCCTATTTCTCCTCTTTATTTCTTCTGCTAAACTATATCGAGCAGAAGCGGATACCTCTACACTTTCCATCCTCTAAACAGCATCAAGTGTTGAGTTAGCCTGTCCCTCCACAATTTGCAGCTTATCTTCAGCAAAACAGCCACGATTTGTAGCTGACATCATAGTGCACAGATAGCAGGGGAGAGGCGGCAGGGCCACTAACACACACGAAGAAGCTTGGTGCAGAGCTTTTTTCCCTTATTTCGAAGTCGCAGCTACTGAGTCTCATCGCTACTGCTCAGCTGTTGATCCGCCGAGGTGAGTTTGTACTGTTTAGGTCATTGGGGCCTTAATTCGTACGAATTAAGGCTACAGTAATTAGTTTATGTGGTTGCCATTTAATCAACGGCTCTGAAAAATTGGTAGGGATAGTTTATAGTCCAGACAGAGGATCAATTTCACTGATGTTGCTTTGCCTTGTTTGGACTGGAATTCATGCTTCTAGTACCTTGCTTGTAATTGTGCGGCTTCAATTTTTCAAAATTAGTAAGTTTTGGTTCGCCACCTCAACTGCGCAACTCACAATTTCAGTTTCACCATTTTTTTGCTATTGTACTCTTCCCCACATGTGTCCACAGTATGAGGCAATTAATTGTTCGTAAGAGGGAGAGGGTACACAGTGGCACCACATTAGCCGATGATATTGCTTGGCTGCTTCATTTAGTTCGGTTAGGAAAGACGATTTTTTTTTGCTAAGCTCATGGTATACGTGTACTCTGTTAATTGCACTTTAATATTGATACTATTTTGTGGATTAGATATTTGATGGAGTCATCTAGTGCTCTTGTTGCCGCTGAAATTGATCATTTGCTCTGCCAGATATGTGTTTAGGTAGGGTGTTGTTGCTACGTATAACCTGTATAGAGGGAAAAATTAATCTGCTTTTTGTGTGAGGCTGTTTTGGTCCTGTGTATGTGATTTTCAGCATATTATAATCTAAAATGAACTTTGATATGTTAGTGGAAGTTTTAGCTTCGAACATGAAATTGCATGATATTTCGTTAACAGTTTATGCACTTGGTCTGCTAATAGCATTTTAGTGGTACCTTGTACATATTTTTAGGATTGTGATGCCTCTTGTGACTCAGAGTACTTCGAAGGGTAAGAAGCAACTATTGTGACAATTAATTATGTCAAATCTTGATCCGGAACTACTGCAGTTCTCGGCTTTTTAACATCGTTATTTACAGCTTTGCAAACGACTAGGGGATTTAACATTTGTTCACCTAATTCAGCTACGGGAGAAAACGATTTGCGTCTTTGTATAACAAACTACTTCAAGGTGAGTTAGAACTTACTAGGGGAAACATTCTCTATATAAGTGTCCCAATATTCCCTTAGAATGTGTCTAATTTCCCATGTTTAAGTCCACCCTAAGCGTTTTTTCTGGTTTTGACTTTTCTAAAGAAAACAAAGATGCCCAAACCAAAAGCAAATAAGGAACGTAACACTTTCAAGCCGGAGATAAAAACTGCCATTGCCCATGAGCTTGTGAACATGCATAGGAATGAGGAAATATCATCACAGATCATCGGGAGCCATGTTATCCCTCAGATTACTAGGATGCTCACTCAGAATTTCGGGGTTTCGTTCCCCCGGGACAGTATTTGTTCAAAGTACTATGCGTTTCAGCAGCTAACTAGACTTTACATTTCGTTCAAGAAGCGTGGCACTGGTATGAGTTGGGACTCAACAAACTACACCTTCATGATGGATGATGAGCGATGGAGTCATCTAGTTCAGGTATAATACTTTTCCTGTTATGTTTACATATTTTCTTTATAAGCTGTCTATAGAATTTTGCAAGTTTTTTCCACATTATTAATTGTATATTAAGCTATCCACATTATTAATTGTATATATTATTCTTCTGTAGGTGAACTCGGGGTACAAAAGGTTTTATAACCGCTCTTGTCTAGTCTTCCATTTGCTTGAAGAAATCTTCATGAATCAGGGGGCCAGTGGGGATTTCAGCTCCGACTTTGTGGCATCTCCCGTCAATTCGGCTAACGAATTGGAAATGGAACATGCTGCAAGACATGGTAGTGGTAAGGGGGTTGTCGATGTCGATTCATCAGATGAAGGAGATGCCGTTCATGTGACCCGGAAAGGGAAAGAGAAGGTGAAGAAGGGCAAAGGAAAGCGCAAATCAGGGGACATGTCAACTGAATCTTTCTTTGCGCCATCCTCCCCCCAATTCTAGAAGTACGTCCGGATTTTAGATAGCATCGAGACACGATTGAACGGTAAAAGGAGCTCTGGGATGACCAGTTCGGTCTCTTCTCCCCGCTAAGAGTAAAAAGCCCCGGTTGATGAAGAGGAGGAGCTACAGGCTGCCTTGGCCAACTTGAGCGGTCTTCATTTGGACCCAACTGTGCGCTTCAAGATGGCCGATCTGCTAAGGAATCGTGCGGAGCGTCTCATTTGGTTCTTATGCGTGAATGACGAAGACCGCCTTGCCTTCGTTAGACATCGGGGCTTCCTTCGCCCCGTTTAGCACCTCATTCTGTCCAGCCAGTGACTATTGCGGCAACCTTCTACCTTTTTTCCGCATGCCTTAAAATTTCAACTGCTCATTTGGACCCTTGTAGTTCGAGTTGACATTGGACTTTGTTATTCATTTCTGTACTGTACCGCGAGCCTTAGTTTTTTTTATGTGAGGTGAAGTTGAGGATATTTCTGATAATTAATTTGTGTGTGCTTATAAATATTGGTTGAATGAGCTTATTTACATTATTTGTTAGGAAATAGTGCAAAGATTTTGATTTTGTGTGACAGGAGTTGCCTCTACATTTTTTTGTGAGTTGATGTTGAAATTTGTTCGTTTATTTTTGAACAATTGGATTTGGTTCAGGTTATTATTTTTTTCTGTATATTCAAGGAATGTCTGCTAATTTACCTTATGTGTGCTTCTGAATATTGGTTCAAGTAGTTTACTATATATTATTTGTTAGGAAATAGTGCACTGGCGTATATATTGTTCGGCCATGTTACCAAATTAATTTTATTGGCAGCAGTTAATATTGGACAGCGTCTCATTTATGTTCTCACATGATTTGAACCGGGGCCAGTTATTATTTTTTCCTTCATATTCAGGCAATGTCTACTAATTTATTTGTTGCCTAAGGTTATAAAGACTGGTTGATGCTGTTTACTAAATATTACTTTTTAGGAAATGGTGCAATGGCTATTATTTTGTGTAGTTGGAGTTGCCATATTAATTTTTGGGTGAGGTGATATTGGACTTTGTTATTTATTTATTTTCTCATATAAATGGACCTGGGCCAGTTAATATTTTTTCGTTCATGTACAGGGAATGTCTTTGTTCAATTATTTGTGTGGGCTTATAAATATTGGTTGAAGTAGTTTACAAACAATTAATTGTTGGGAAAAAGTGCAATGGCTATTATTTTGTGTAGTTGGAGTTGCTTTTTTGAACAAGGTGATATTGGTATTAATTATTCACTTATTTTCTCAAATAAGTGGACCCGGGCCAGTTAATATTTTTTCCTTTATGTACCTGGCTTATGTCTGCTAATTTATTTGTCCTAAGATTATAAATATTGGTTGAAGTAGTTTACTATATATTGCTATTGTTAGTAAAAAGTGCAATGGCTATTTTGTGTAGTTGGAGTTGCCATATTAATTTTTTTGTGAGGTGATATTGGACTTTGTTCAGTTATTTTCTCAAAAGGTAACTGGACCCGGGCCTGTTATTTGGAATTTTTTTTACCTGGGAGTGTCTGCTAATTTATTTGTGTTGAGATTAAAAATTTGCTAGAAGTAGTTTACTAACAATTAATTATTGAGAAAAAGGGCAATGGCTATTATTTTGTGTTTGACTGGAGTTGCCATATTAATTTTGTGCAGTTGGATTTATTTGGACCTTACCTGGCTTATTTTTTTCTTAATATATTTGGGAATATTTATTTGTAATGATTAGTGAGTATTTATAGTAATTGATTGAACTTATTTACTATACTGGTTAGGATATTTACTTATTTCACTTGTGAGTGTTTTTTATAATTGGATGAACTTATTTAATTTGTATTATAATTGGTTGAACTTAAATTGAGAGAAATTTCACCTGTTTATGGCACAGGGTTGAACTAATTTTTTTCTTTATATGGAGGATACTTTTCCTGAATTAATTTGTTAGGGATTTCACCAATGATTATATTGGTTTCCGTGGAGGTTTCCTGTCTCATGTTGTTGTGAGTTAACATATGCGGGATTATGTGCTTATTTCCCGGTTATGTACTCCGGATAGACTTTTTTTTGGTATATAGAGGATATTTCAGTAATTTCTTTGTGTGCGTTTATAAATATTGGTTGGACGTTTTTTCTATATACAAATTGCTTGGGATGTGTGCCAACCAGTTAATATTTTCCGTGGAGGCGCCTTTAAATCTACCAGTCTACTGTCATTTCGGCGATCATTAGCAGTATTGACTGTAGACAAAAGTTCAATTTTAGTTGTATAAGCTGTTTGAACTTGTGCTGAATTAAATAAGACAGGTCATGTTTTTCGCTATTGCTTACTTGTTCACGTATGGCGCTGTTGCTAACTTTTTGTGCTAATTTTTTTAAATATGCGTTTTGATATTCTTAAGTTATTGTTTACCTATTTTGGTGCTTAATGTACTTTAATCACTTGGCCAGTTGCAGAGTTCAAAGTTGTTGACCAAGGAGCATGGACAACCAGTGGCACATTCAAGGAGCTTTACTGGATGACGAGCTGGATGATGAGGAGCTCGACAATGTCCTTATGTACGTCGTATTATTGGGTTTCATATTCTTTTTTCAAGATATAAATCAGCAAGTCCCCAGAAGAAGAAGAGTACGAGATAGTGCGTTCTCGGGGGGGGGGATTATGTGCTTGACCTAATAAACGGACATGAAGACCGAATTATTGAGAATATGCGCTTAGATGTTCCTCAATTCCTTCTGCTGTGTAATTTATTGGTTGATCGGGGTTACTGGTATGCATATCCTTCTCAAAGAGTGGGAGTACATGAATCCGTTGCTTTAATCCTAATGTGCCTGAGCCATGATGAGAGGCACCGTGTGCTAGCCGAGCAATTCCAGCATTCAACGGAGACGATTGATCGACACGTTCGTCATGTCTTACGAGCTTTGGTTCGGTTAGGTCGTGATCTCGTTAGGCCAAGAAACGTCGATGACACTCATCCAAGGATTTTGAACAATACTTTGCTCATGCTGTGGTTCCGGGTATGTGTGTCATTTTTATTCAGATGCACTTTAAGTTGGATTCTTATGTGCTTTGGAATTTTTTTTAAAACCATCGAACTTCTATAGGATTGTGTAGGAGCCTTAGATGGGACCCACATATCCGCTTGGTGCAGAGCAGAGGTAAGAGAGAGGTTCAGAAATCGGCATGGCGACTTATCCCAGAATGTACTTGCTGCCTGCGATCATGATATGTGGTTTGTCTTTGTTCGGGTCGGTTGAGAGGGTAGTGCTCATGATGCCCGAATTCTCCAAGAAACCTTGCTTGATCCGGGCTCGGGATTTCCAATGCCACCACAAGGTATTTTAATTGACACCACATTTTTTAATATGTCCGGCTAATAAATACTTTTATAATACAAGACAGTAGGAAATAGTCTCAAATTTCTTTGACCGTTTTTTGCATTTGTTTCCATATAAATAAGTAGGGGCCTTACATGAATTCTATGTTGTTAAATGAACAAAAAAATATTATGCGGTAGATGCTGCCTACAGAAATATGCCGGGGTTTATGACACCGTTTAGGGGTGTACGGGGCACGCATCATGAGCGAGCAGCTAAAGCTCTGTTCAGTAGGTGCCATGCATTAATTAGAAATATTATTGAGCGCGCATTTGGAGTTCTTAAGAAGCATTTTCCAATACTCAAAGGGCCAATGCAGAACTACTTGATAGCAACGCAAAATAATATTGTGCTTGCATGTTGTGCTTTGCACAATTTTTTGCGTGATTATGTGCCGAATGACGAGTATTTCAATAAAGAAGCGGCAAATGAAGCCTTTGCAGATGCACACATAGTAGGGAAACAAGTGCAGATGGGTCAACCTATCGATATGTCGCAGTAGGGTGTAGATAACTGGAATGAAAATCGGCGAGCAATGGCGGTGCACATGTATTGGAATGCTAATAATTAGACTCGAGTGCTTGGCATAGAATCGACAGGTCCAAATTGGCAGCAGTTTGTACTTTTTATTTGGTTCACGTTCGTTGTGAATGAACGATTACTTTTAATTTGGCTACAGTTAATGTATTATTGCTTGAACAGGATTTGCAATTCTGTATTATATTTGCTGACTAGTACTTTGCTCTGCAACCTCAGTAAGTATTCAATTGACCGGTTTAGTTCATGTGTTTGTGAATGGATGCGTACAAATAAGTCATGAACGAGTTAAATTCTCGGCACATTTTTTACAAGGGTTACGGTCAACCTTTGGCATTTTTCCCAATTGCGGGAGGGGACATTTTTTAGTTGTCCAACATTTGTAATGACCTGAAGGTATTGGCCAATTGCACATTTGGACCCTTCAAATAATTTATGTGTAGTTGTTTTTCAAAAACAGTTCAATCCAAAAGCATATATGTTTTTTAAAAAAATAGGAGTTTTCAAAAACAATAATCCAAATGACAATGAGTGTTTTTAAAAAACTGCTATAGTAAAATTTTTCAAAAACACCCCAAAAAATAGGCAATCCAAATGGAGCCAATGTTTTTAAAACAAAACCAAAATAAATAAATCGTAATATCTTTTTTTTAAGAGGGAAAAAACATTATCCTAAAATTCGGTGTATCACATTTTTTTCCCTTAAAAAAAATTCCTTTAGTCCACATTGCCAATGCCACCGGATGAGAAACCGCTAAATATCGGTAAAATGACTCCGCTGGCATGTTTTTGTGAGTTTGGTGACTTTTTGGGCCACAAAAAAAGTTTGATGATCAAAGGGTGCCATTTTCAATAGTTTAGTGACCTTTTGAGCCATTTACTCTTTTTTTTTTTTTTTATCAAATTGAACTTTAGCCAAGTTCAAGTAATTTGAACTTTTACATGTATATTTCACTTATATGTTAACCGAGTCAAGGATGAACCAAACTTGAAAGTTTATGAAGCACAAATTGCTATTCAAGTTTGGTTTGATTAACTAACAAACGAAATTCAAACGATTGCTCACCGAGCCAAACTCAATTCGAATATCGAATTGTTTAGTTTATCTTTTAACCTTAGTATCATTAACACATCGATCCAATAATGGCACACTTATGTTCAGATCGTGTTAAAAGTCCTAATTTCAAATCTTATTTGATTCACTAGGAGGGAGTGCCCGCGCATCGCGCGGGTGTTTGGTGCCTGTAGGAAACGAGATTTTTTTTGTTAAACAGACAATAGTACATTATGAGAAGAAATAAAATTTAGTACGAAAAGATAAACGATATAATCAATCAATTCACACAGAGTTATAATAAAACCGTGTCAAATTGAAGGTCGTTGAAAATGCAGAAAGGCAGAGCAACACATAAAGCTAACCTTATTCCAGAATCCTCACTGAGAGCTCTTTCTTACTGTTGCTCCAAACCTATAAGATTTAAGAGTCGCTAATTGTAAGTACGAAGAATACATCGACAAAATTAAGGGAGGAACTGAAAAATTGGGAGGGTGAAATCTAATCTCACGCTGAACCACCAGGAGTAGCTAGGATTGAAAAGCATTTTAAGCTAATTAGTATGAAGTCAGGTAGAATTATCCTAATTTTAGAATGTAAACAGGGAGAAACTGATAATCAATCATTTAGGCATTAACATACCAACGGTTCAGCAATTGAATTGGGTGTAATTAATGACGAAATAATAGGTAATTTCAGAGTTGAGTTCGAATGGAAGAGAAAATGATGAGGCAAATCATTGTAGACAAAGGCAAAAAGGGAAAACTTAACTCCTGAAACTGAAAGGGGATAAATTAACCAACGTTTGTGGCTTATAAATGCAGATTATAAATGATAGAGAAATGGGTTCTTACCATTGATAGAGAAATCGTTGGCACATTTCCTAAATCCGATTGTCATTCGAACGTTTCAGACAAAGCAATATCTCAAACGGTTATCTGCGGCTGAAAAGGGGAATTATTGGTAGTTAAGGGATATTCCGGTAATTACACCAACATACAAACATATATGGGTTGTACAAAATGCAAAAACGGTTGCACACTAATTACACATTCCATCAATACCCAAATGGCTCATCAATGACAACTTAAAATGTATTAAATTGGGTCATTTCAGTAAATATATCCAAATACATGCTTCCTTAAGTTGTACCTAAAGTTTTTAAACTAATACACAATATTTCACATTTCCAAAAAGCTCCCACCTATACGGTTGAAATTCAACCTATTTTTTGACCAAAACTCAATCTTATATAGTATAAGAATAAGAATATTACTGTTGTTATTTGAAATTGCCACACTTGGAAAAACTTAGTAATAAACATATTAATAGTTAGAAAGTATTGATTTCTGTTAATTAATTTTCTTGTATGGTCCAACCTTGGAGTCACAACTCATACTAGTCTTCATATTATCTGTGCAACTTTTCAAGTTTGTAAGAAACGAAACCTCCAACTATCCTTCGCTCAAAATTAAGAACCTATACACAAAAATCTAGACAATTTTCACATATTATATAAAAGAGCAAATGTGCAAAAATTAAGGATCAAGTGCCCTCAATTAGAAATGGTCCGAAATTCTAGCAACCAATTCGGCAATTCTCAAATATGCCCTTCATTATTTCAGTTACGTTACGTTATCATGTCCTCATTTTCTTGCCTTTCCAAACCGCCTAAGTTCCAACCCCGTTTGTCCAAATTTCCCCTCTTTCATTTCATCCCAATTCCCACCAAAAATAAATAAAAATAAAAGCCCCACTCAAAATTAATTTCCTCACTCCACCACTCCCTCCAACAAATGTCTTAAATTTTTTTGTATCATATAATATGCACAGTCGATTAAGTACGATTTGTTTAGCATTGAAAAAGAATTTGCATTCTTTTCTCTATTAGAGAAATCAGAATTTGGGGAAGATTTTTTGGAGTTTTTATTTTTGGTGGCTGAATTGGTGGTATCATCAATGGCGAAGTCTGAGAATTCCAAAAACCCGGGCCAAAATCCCCCGAAAATTCATCCGATCACCGCTAATAACGACCTTGAAATCGACCCCTCCAGTTCTTACTCACTCGAGAAGTTTCGCCTCTATGAAACCCGAGCTGTAAGTATTAAAAAAAATAGAATTGCATTGAATTCTGCATTTCTAGGGTTTTGCTTTTGTTTTAAGCTAGTTTAATTGCTGCTTTATAGTTAGTTCAATTGGAATGTTAAATTTTTATTCAGGTTTATTGGAATTTTCATTTTTTAATTTTTTTTCTTTTCGTTTTTTGGTACTTCGACTTATTGAAGCATGCTGCGTGATCAAATGAAAAACCTCAGTTTGTTTTAATTTTAACTTCCATTGCATGGCAAGTGATGAGATTAAGAATAATAAAATTCCCATAATTAGTGTTTCTTTTACTGGGATTTTAATGTTGATTTTTATCATGTTCCAATCTTTTGTTGTTATTGAACATCAATATCAATTACAAATTCTAAAGCTTCCATTTTGTACTAATGTTTTCCCGAAAGTTTATGCTGAAGGACTTTTTGTTAGGAAATTTCATGAGTTCTTAATCAACCTTTGCAGAGGTTTTATTTGATTGGAAGTGATAAGAACAAGAGGTTTTTCCGGGTTCTGAAGATCGACAGAATGGAGCCCTCTGATCTCAATATCAGCGAAGACCCTGTTGTGTACACATCGCAGGAAGTTAAAAACTTGCTGCAGCGGATAGCTGAGGGCAACCGAGCAACTGGCGGATTGACTTTTGTGGCCAAAGTTTATGGCATTGCTGGTTAGTCTGCAAAAATCCTCAATTACAATTGGAAACTTTGGTGCAGCTTATGACCAATGAGTTTTTGACTGTTATTTTGGTGGTCATTGATAATGGTTTTTCAGGTTGTATAAAGTTCCTGGAGTCATATTACTTGGTCTTGGTGACAAAGCGGCGACAGATTGGTTGCATATGTGGTCATGCAATATACAGTATTGATGAGAGCCAAATTATAAGCATTCCACATTCTACAGTTCAGACTGATATTGCTCATTCTAAAACTGAGCTGCGGTAACTTTTCCTTTTTTCTTTGTAGTTGGACTAACAAATTCTGGATAACCCTGTTGCTTCGTGAACTTTTAAACATTATGCTGCTTGTCTCTTGTTTTAATTAAATTTTAGGGATTTAATTTTTATCTTGGAGCTGCATAGTCAAGAATCCTGTTATTTTTCAAGTTAAATTGTTTAATGGACTAAAAAAATGTATAAATGCTGTTAACATGCCTTTTTTGTTCTTGTGGTTGGATGCTTACATGTGCATGTATAATCATCCTTTGTGGTAGAGGAGTGTCAATGGAGGCATCATTTTGTGCTTTATTAGTTTGAAGCTGCATTCAGACATTGATCAGTTTAGGAAAGACTGGTTACACTAAAGTTATGTTTGAAGATGTGATCAAGTATGTAGAGGTCAAGATTGTACTGGTATCAGAAAATCATCTTTAGTATCTTGAATTTTCTCAGTAAGATCTGTATTGATGTGAGTCAAAGAAAGTAGCAACTTTGAGGTTAGATATTAAGTGTTACTACTTTTACAGCTATTAAGTAGCAACTTTTGTTCCTGTGTCTGCTCTGCAGCTTAAAGCTTCTACTTTGCAGTCTGTGCTTTGAGGTCAGATATTAAGTGTTACTTTTGTTTCTGCAGTTTTGTCACAATGTGACTTCATTCTGATATCTGCAGAAAGGAGTTATTAATTATGCTGAAAGTATGTTTTTCATATATTTCATTGATCTATTACAGACTATATACAGCTGTGTTCTTAGACTAATTACAGCAGCTATCTTAGACTAATTACAGCTAATTCCTACCAACTCTCCCCCTCAAGTTGGGGCATAGATATCACAAATGCCCAACTTGGATAGAGATGCATTGAATAAGCTACTAGTAACAGCATGAGTCATAATATCAGCCAACTGATATGAACTTCTAGTATAGGGAATTTCAATTGTCCCGGAATCAAGATTATCTTTGATGTAGTTCCTATCAATTTCAACATGCTTTGTCCGATCATGTTGAATAGGATTATTTGCAATCTTAATGGCTGCCATATTATCACAAAATAATACCATAGAACCTTTTGGACCAAACCCAATCTCCTTTAAGAGAATTTTCAGCCAAGAGAGTTCTGTGATAGCATGATGCATAGCTCTATATTCGGCCTCTGCACTAGATAATGAAACCACGTTCTGTTTTTTACTTTTCCAAGACACCAAGTTGCCTCCAACAAAAGCCAAATATCTAGAAGTTGATTTTCTATCCAACTTGCTACCAGCAAAATCAGAGTCTGTATATCCAACCACATCAAAATGTTCGTGTTTGGAGAATAAGACACCTTTTCCTGGAGCTGATTTCAAGTAAGCCAAGATTCGATTAACAGCATTCATGTGTTGATCACTTGGATTGTGCATAAACTGGCTAACAACACTGACTGCATATGCTAAATCTGGCCTGGTATGAGTTAAATAGATTAGTCTACCCACGATCCTTTGATATCTTTCCTTGTTTGTTGGAATCTGATCAGAAAAGAAGGCTAGGCCATGATTCACTTCAATCGGAGTATCTATTGGCTCACAAGCAGACATACCAGTTTCAGGTAGGAGTTCCAATGTATACTTCCTTTGGGAAAGGAAGAGTCCTTGCTTGGACCGTGATACTTCAATGCCAAGAAAATATTTAACAGTCCCCAAATCTTTGATCTCAAATTTTTTGGCTAAGTAGCTTCGAAGGTTCTCAATTTCTTCTTTGTTATTACCTGTTACAATCATATCATCAACATAGACAAGAAGCACGGTAATATCATTGTAGTTATGTTTATAGAACAGCGCGTGATCTGCTGAAGCTTGCTTGAATCCATACTCCTCCATGGCATGACTCAATCTTCCAAACCATGCCCTTGGTGATTGTTTTAATCCATACAATGCCTTTTTCAGTCTGCACACCTTTCCTTCTTCTAGTGTAAACCCCTGAGGAGGATCCATGAAAACTTCCTCAGTCAACTCACCATGAAGAAAGGCATTCTTCACATCAAATTGTCGTAGAGGCCAGTCTAAATTAACTGCCAGTGACAATATGACACAAACAGTGTTCATCTTGGCAACCGGTGCAAATGTCTCTTGATAGTCAATACCATATGTTTGAGTGTAGCCTTTTGCAACCAGTCTAGCTTTATATCTTTCAACTGTCCCATCAGACTTGTATTTGACACTGAATACCCATTTACACCCTACGGTCTTCTTTCCCATTGGTAACTCAACCATTTCCCAAGTAGAATTCTTTTGGAGAGCCATCATTTCTTCTACCATTGCATCTTTCCACTTAGGACCATCAAGGGCTTCCTGAAAATGACTAGGAACATATACAGAAGACAACTGAAGAGCAAATGTCAAGTTAGCCTTAGACAAACGGTGATAGGATATAAAATCAGAAATTGGATAAGAAACATTGGAAGCTTTTGAAAAACCAAGTCTATCAGGTTCTTTTCGTTCACGAAGAGGATATCTTCTATTCTGATCAATATTAGGATATGAGTCAAGACTTTCAGAAGAAGTACATACCTTAGTGTCAATCTTGGAAGATTCATTCGATAGCATGGTAGTATCATCAAGGGAGGTATTATCATTAAGGGAGGTACAAGAATCAGGAGGCATAACAGTGATATCTTTTGTTCTCCTAGAATATCCTTTCTCAAAGAGATGAGCTGGTCTCTCACTATTAGTTTCAATTTTATTTTCTTGACCATCATCTAAAACTAAGGATTCCCCATTTTCCTTTGCATTCTCTATACCTGAGATCCATATCCTTTTTTCTCCTAGCCATTGTTTTTCCTCTTCTCTACTTTTAATCTCCCCCTGAAGAGGAACCGCAGACATATGTCCAGAAAAATAAGACTCATTTTCACAAAATTGAACATCCATAGACACATAGTAGGTTCTTGTAGGAGGATGAAAACATTTATATCCCTTTTGTGAATTAGAATAGCCAAGGAAAACACATTTGATAGCACGAGGATCAAGTTTATCTCTATGATGAGAATGAACATGAACATAAATAACCTTAGCGGGCATTCGATTAATGAGGAAAACAGCAGCCATAATAGCTTCAGCCCAAAAATGTTTTGGAACATGCATAGTAAAACATAAGGCTCGTGCTGCTTCAAGAACGTGACGATTTTTCCGTTCTGCTGTGCCATTCTGCTGGGGTGTGTAAACACAAGTGGTTTGATGAAGAATGCCATGTTGTATCATAAAATCAGCAAGAGATCGATTCACAAATTCACGACCATTATCGGAATGAAAAACCTTAATTCTAGTGATGAATTGAGTAAGAATCATGTTATAAAACTGAGGAATAATATGACAAACATCACTCTTAGATTTCATCAAATATACCTAACTGACTCTAGTACAGTCATCAATAAAAGATACAACATATTTATGTCCTGAAGTAGAAGTAGTTGAGAAAGGACCCCACACATCAGTATAAACACATGAAAAAGGAGTGGCACTTTTATTAAAACTAACTTTGAAAGGAACACGATGGTTTTTTGCATAAACACATTGTTCACATCTTAAGCTAGAAGTTGAAATATTGAAAAATAACTTAGGAAATATATGCTTTAAATAAGAAAAAGATGGATGTCCTAGTCGACGATGCCAAAGGATTATTCTTTCTATGTCTGATGTCCCACTTTTTGTTTGAAAACCTCGAGTAGATATTGTTATGCCTCGATTGTCTTCCCAGTAATATAAACCATCCCTCTCCTTACCAATGCCAATCGTCATCTTCGTAAGATTGTCCTGAAAAACACAATGAGTAGAGTGAAAAATGACAGAACAGTTAAGATGCTTTGTTATTTTACTAATGGAGAGGAGATTATTTGAGAGTTTAGGTGCAAGTAAAACAGAGGACATAGAAAACTTTGGTGAAAGAGACACATTTCCAGCGCCTATGATTGGCATAAAATTTCCATTAGCAACCTGTACAGACTTCACAGGTGGAGATGTAAGAGAGTCAATGATAGAAGAGTTACTAGTCATGTGATCAGTAGCCCCTGAGTCAATAATCCAAGTGCTAGGACGAGCAGAAATAACGGACAAACCAAAAATACCTTCTTGAGAAGATGCCTGAGACACATGAGACACAGAAGATGGAGTAGTGTCTATGGCAGCAACATTTTGAGCAACAGTATTATGAATAAATTTTTTATTTTTCCTCTCAGCTTGCTTAAGTTTATACCATTCTGGATAGCCATGCTTCTTCCAACAAACATCAATTGTATGTGTATTCTTATTGCAGTAGGTGCAAAATCGAGACTGAGAGGTTGTAGAATTTCCATTAATGGCAATAGGAGTGCTCTTTTGAACAGTTAGAGCTGAAGCCTCAAAGTGTGATTCTGCTCCCATGGCAACTTGTCTTTGTAGTTCTCTACAAACCATGGAGTAGACTTCTTCTAACCTTGGTAAAGGAGAAGTACCTAGAACACGGCTGCAAACTTGATCTAACTTGTTATCAAGCCCAACAAGAAAAATATAAACTCGATCTTCGGCAATACGATTTCTATATTTTTCAATATCAGCAGCACATGTCATGTCATTGGGCCGTTGATAATCGAGCTCCATAAATGTTGAGTTTAATTCGTTGTAATATTCTGCTAGAGGCCGACCATCTTGTTGTAAATGAAAAGTCTTCTTCATTAGTTCATAAACTTCAGAGGAATCTGATATATCAAGGTAACTTCTTTTTACAGCATCCCAAACTTCCTTTGCTGTGCCGCATTGTACAAAGTGAGATATCAGATTATCACTCATTGAATTAATAAGCCAAGATTTGACAAGAGAATCTTCAGCTTCCCATTCATCATAACTTGAATCATCTACTGCTGGTGCAGCCTTTTTTCCATTAATATAGCCCATTTTTTTTCTTCCAGCAATATGCATCTCCAAAATCTTGGACCAAACTCGATAATTAGTGCCATCCAATTTAATGTGGATGGAAGAAGAAGCATCTTGTATGGTTAGAGTGGAGAGATTCTTGCTGTTAGGAGATTCAACATCAGGTTTGGTTGACATATTGTGATGTGATTAGTGTTTTAGAGAAGAAATTTCAGCAGTGTGGGCTATTGAAAGAATGGCTGGAATTTTCAGAGAAGAGGAGAGCAAGGAAAAACCCCAATGCTCTGATACCAAGTTATTAATTATGCTGAAAGTATGTTTTTCATATATTTCATTGATCTATTTATACAAGTAACTAGGTTAAATGGTCAGCCATGTACAGCTGTATATAGTCTGTAATTACAGACTATATACAGCTGTGTTCTTAGACTAATTACAGCAGCTATCTTTAGACTAATTACAGCTAATTCCTACCAACTAAAGGCAGAAAGGATGATTTGAAAATTTTCTAAATTAATGTGGATTCTTTCACGCGATGCTCGGATAGACGCTTTTGATTTCTTGATCTTTCCCGCTAGCTCATGCTCATTCAGCTTCCTTTTGTGCAAGTTGTGTCCATATTTAGTTCCTGATGCTGCGTTTTTTCTCCTATTTGTTGAAAAATGACCTAAAGTTGTTCCTTTGTATTGATTTTTATTTCTTTGAACGTATTTTTTGTAATTGACAGCATTAGCTTAATTTGCAGGTACAAGAAGCTATTGTCCAGTGTTGATTTGACCAAAGATTTTTTCTATAGTTACACATATCCAGTAATGCACAGTTTGCAGCATAATGTATTGTCAACTTGTGAAGAAGGTATTCCATATGAAGACATGTTTGTATGGAATGCTTTTCTAACACAGGCAATTCGATCAAGATGCAACAATACTATGTGGACAATCGCTCTGGTCCATGGGCATTTTAAGCAGGTATTGATATTTTACAGATTTATTGATTCGCTTATGGCTGTATTCATTTCTTTGTTGTATGCATACTGGTGTTGAGTCTTTGCATGAGTTTCATGTAACACCTGGGGGCTGAGATTGAAGTTATGATAGATGCTGTATGTTTGAATTTTTACTTGACTCCTGCACTCAACAATTTGCATTTTATATGTGATACGTGTCAGCATGCACAATCATGTGATCATCCATCGTAAGATCACATCTAATACTACAAGTTGGCAACGCACCGTTTATGCCTATGAGACATCATTGCACAACAATTCATTAGTCAAGACATGTTCACAGCATTGTGTGTCTGTGCTTATGTAATTCGTTGGAATTTCATTTCAGGTTTGCATCTTAAGTCCTGTATCAGCTATCATTTTTTTTTCTTTGATCCTTTATCGCATATTTGAGTACATTAGTTTCCACCATTATACCACTGTTGCTATCTTGGTGTCCTGTCAATTATTATTCTTCCAATGCTGATTAATTTGTCTCATTAGCTTCGACATTGTTTTGCAAAACTTTTTCCTTAATTTTATGCTACCTATAAAGAGAAACAGGATATGTGCTTAGTGTCCGCATGCATTCATGCACCCAATTTTCAGCCCCTGCAATCCTGTCTCTCTTGTTTTTCTTTTTTTTTTTTTCTTTCCCTTTCTTAATTAACTAATTTTTATTTCTTTGTTATAATATTGAGGCTTGTCTATATTGTCAAACATCACTTATGGAGCCTTTTGGTCACTTCCACTGTGTCTGATCATTGCAGATCAGGTTGGCAATTTTTGGAAGGGACTTCAGTGTTTCTCTTGTTTCTAGACGTTCCCGACACTTTGCTGGAACTCGGTATGGCCTAATTGAGTTTTTGACTTTTGTGAGTTTTGAAATCTTATGGATAAGACAGAATGGGGTGAAATGTTAATAAGATTGAGGAGAATAGCCTGAGAATAAACTCTGCAAGAAGAGTCTGAAGTTGGGTTTGAGCTTTGGTGTTTAAGGTTTTATTCTTCATCTTGTCCCGTCCATCATTAATTGGATTTTGAAGGAGATTTGCTGGTAATTCAGTTCAAATTTACTAAAGATTCATGTACTCAACCAGGTTGTATGTCACTACATAAACTTTTAGGTGCATGAAGATGTTTAATTTCCATTTACCACATTATGTGCTTGTTGCTATCTTAATCACCAGAAGCTTATGAACAAAGGAAATATAGCCTTTTTTGTTCTTATTGCTCATTATTTTGGGTGCTTGGTACTCTCTTTCATTAGGCTTACTAAACAAAAAAATCATAAACTGCAGTTGTAACATCTGGTCTGGTTCTTTTTCTTGCTTCACTTTTGTTAGATGCATCCCTTTATGGGTTCTGATTAAGACAGACAGTTTTCATGTGTTGACAGTTTCCTATGCGGATTCTTTTAGGTACCTATATATAGCCCAGTGGTCAAGGCCTTTATTGCTTGTCATTTAACAATGGTTTGATTATCACCATCTTCATTCCTCTCCCCTGCTAAAAATGTTCTTTGTAGACAAATATGCTTCAGGCACGCGTGTACATGTACATATGTGTATGTTCTGCAGTTAATAGGAGGCAACTTGTGTCATGTCTTTAGTGCCTTGGCATCATATTCGCAACTGTTGAATGATAAAGCATGTTTACTCCTTGCTGACGTGCCTGTTTCTCTGCTTGTGTCCGCAAGGCAACATTCAGGACTTGTATTGTCCTATAGGTGAACACTATGCATGTCCTATTCAATTTTCTTCATATTGATAGAAGTACTTAATGCAGTATAAGTTACCTGTTTTCCTATGTCCTCATAATGTGCTCTCTGTTAGATTATGCTGGTGGACGTGTATACTTAGGGCTTTTTTTTGGGTTTCCAAAAATTGTATTTTATGGTTTTTTAATCAATTTAGAGTGGGCAGTGGTTAGCTTGTGAACCCCTACTAGTCTAATTAGATATGGATGGAAGCTACATGCATGAAGCTAAAATAGTCCATGCTTAATGCATGCTTAAAGAGATACCTCATTGTCAGGATCAAAAGATATATAACTAGACATGATTAAGCACATATGCTGATGCACAAGAATATGGATAAAAAACATATATTAGCCTTATGTATTTGATTTTCTCATATATATTCTCTATGGACAATCTTGCATTCAATGTAGGTAACTTTTCCTTTCGTTATGCTGCATTTTCTTTTCTTTCATTTTGCCTTTTATGCGCTAAGTTCAGGGATGGACTGAAGGAGGAAGAACAACAACCCAGGTTAGTGTTCTTGCCCTTTGCTGCCACCTTGGGAATATAGTCCTTCCAAGAATTACTTCCCCCTTACATGAAGGAACTCAGACTAACAAACAAAGCAAATTAAAGAACTTAAGAGCCAGATGTTCTTTAACAATGGCTTTTTAGTATTTTTTGTACTATGTATATAATCTTATGATCCTTTTGATAATGCTTCTTAAGTACAGATTTCGCAAACAGTAGTATCTCTTCTAGATTATTGATTTAAACTCAAAAGTTTCACCTTAGTCCTCTCACTCGTGATTGTGTATGGTGCATGCCTTCTGTTGATGTTTTAAATTTTTATAGGTTGAAGGATTTTGACGTTTGTGTGCTATTTAATTTGTTGTACTGTTTGTGGTCCTTTTAGATGACTAATCATTGGAACTCTTGGTTATAATTATGTATGAAGATGATGAGTATTTGTTAGAGATCTGGTAGATTACTTGTTTGCCTCTATAAGGATTGATTTTATTAAGCAAGATTCAGCAGATGATGCTAGTTTGATAATATAACATGAACTTTTCTTGGGGTTATACGTGTCACAACCTCGTTGGGTGGCCTGTCATTTGAAGTTTCGTATTCTCTAAAAAGATCCACAAGGAACTCTCCAAGTTCTTCCAGTTGTGATAAGGATGAACTGTGATTTTCTGAAATGACAGATGCTACAATTCTTTCTTTTGTCCTTGTTATTTGTCATTGTAGTTAGAAAGTTCTGCAGTTAGCTGGTGACCTTGATTATTGCTCACTAAAGAATGATAAAAGAAATTACTTGTGCAGTTATCTGATAAATCAAACTTGAAAATAGCGTGAGATGATGATACAATAAATTGGAGCATTTTTTTGCAAAAGAATTCTTGTTTCATTATTTATTTTAATGCTTCCAATAGATTTTGATGCTCATATTGCTCATGCCCCATGCTTTGGTCTAGGTTTCATGACTTCCTAATTCCTAGTGGTGATGATTAATGCTGCACACTCATTTATATCACAGTAAATCTTATTATTTTTGGACTTAGAATATGAAATATTGCAAGATTTTATAATATTGCCAAAGAATGGGTAAATTTGCCTTTTAATGGCTTCAAACAGTCATTGGCTTTTATTGGTGCAGTTATTTAAAGAGGGGAGTCAATGATCATGGAAGAGTTGCAAATGATGTTGAAACTGAACAGATTGTCCTTGATGAGGAAGCTGGATCCTGCAAAGGAAAAATGAGTTCTGTTGTACAAATGAGGGGTTCTATTCCTCTTTTCTGGTCACAGGAAGCTTCAAGATTCAGTCCAAAACCTGATATAATCTGTAAGAAAACATGAGTCCTTTTGAAATCAATCATGTTGAATGGATATTCTGGTTCTACATGATTATTGAATGGATGATCTTATTCTACTCGATTGAGTTTTGATTAGTGCATTCCGCTATTTGTGTTTGTTAATTGTGCAATGGTCTATATGCTTTTAACTCACATGTTGCTCTTTTTGTATTGATCAAGTACAAAGATATGATCCTACCTATGAGGCAACAAAATTGCATTTTGAAGACCTGGAAAAGAGATATGGCAACCCAATTATTGTTCTCAATCTGATTAAGGTTCGTACCTTAACTAAATTTCAATTGTGGGTTGAACACATGTAAAATCCCTGTTATGCCCTTGTGATGCAAAATTTTTCCCTATGTGGCAATTGATTCTGGAACCTTTGCAAAAGTTAAATGTGTGTGTGTGTGTGTTTTTTTTTTTGGCCCTTTTTGGGGGGAGGGGGGTTTACGAGGGGGAAGGGACTAGGGAGGTTTGAGCCTTATAGGGAAGGAAGGCTTCAGCTTGAGAGTGGGACCAGGCATGTTATGGTAATCAGCTGAACTGGGATAGGGGACAATGAAGCTTTCAGTTCAGTAGTTTTATTTTATTTCATTTTTTAAAATGATGCAGATCTAACTTTTCGCTGCAAGCTTGTGTGAGTGCTCCTGGTTGAGAATATTGCCTCTGAGGAAAGAACTGGAAACTTGTCTTATAGAATTTGGTAGTTAAAAAATACTTTGTGATAAGCTCCAAAAGCTTTTTTCCTGAAATAGAAGAAAATGGTGCATCATATAACGGTATGCTACTTATGGTGTTGTTTTCTTATGGTTGGTTGTTAAAATAATAGACTGTTGAGAAAAGGCCACGAGAAATGATGCTAAGGCGTGAGTTCGCAAATGCGGTTGGATATCTAAACCAGATTCTACCAGAGGAGAATCATCTTAGGTTTATCCACTGGGACTTTCACAAGTTTTCAAAGAGGTAAGTATATACGGTTTGCATTGCCGTCTTTTTGGCCCTTTAATCTGTACTAATTATTGGCATGTTTCTGTTCTGAAGCAAGTCTGCCAATGTACTAGCAGTATTGGGTGGCGTGGCCAGTGAAGCACTTGATCTAACAGGGTTTTACTACAGTGGGAAGCCACAGGTTGTTAAACGTCGAGCTACCCAACTGAGCCGTACTAGCACTGCTAGGTAAAATTTTTCCCCCACAGTTGAAGTCTGAATTTTTGGTACCAATATCATACTTGCGGTTGGAATTTGTAATTCAACTCACTCTAGTTTCTCAATACCGGCTGTTTGTTCGTCCTCCATAATATTTTTCCAACTTACTTTATTTTGGTTTTATTACAGCAATTTTTTCAGCTATGTTGTTTGGCCTGTAGAACTGCCATTAGAAAGCTTTTGGTTCTGTTCTGACATGAATAGCATTTTGGTTTGCTTTTTGTTTTGTAACAATTTTCAGCTTGTAGTAGTGGTGGAAATTTTGAGACTGAAAGCTTGGAGAGTGTTTTTTTTCGAGTGGGCAAATGCCTGTGCACTGTTATTTTTATAGTTGAAAGAGAGTATTTTTCTTAAGTTGAATTTTGGTTATGTGAGTTGTGCAAATTTCACATTTATTAATTTCTTGAAGATATTTCTGTTAATAGTTTTTCACTTTGAGTTTCCAAATTGCCTTTTCTTGTGGAAAAGGCTAGCTTGTTGCTGAAAAACAGGCTTTTCTTGCACTTAAGCTGTTCTCACCTAACCTTTCCTAGACCTGCTCCTAGTTGGGAACCTTTTGGACTAGTTTGCAATCTGAAAGTTGTATAACTGTGCCGCCTTGCTCCAGTATTTCTTTTTCATCTCTGATTGGAATGTCTTCTGTTTTACCTTTTTTTTTGGGGAGCTTGAATGCAATTAAGCAGGACCAAGGAAATTGATAAGAGTGATAAGAGTGTCTGGATTTGAGAGGTTTGACTGCATTTTTTTTCTTGCGTCTTCTTTGTCTTAAATTATTGCCCATCTGGCAGCAAGAGGGATTGAATTGAAATGAACAAGTAAAACTTATTAGACTACCTTGAAAATGCAGTATGTAACATCATCTTAATGAGTGTGTAGGAATCCGGAATTATAGTTTTGTGGTGGCTGCTTTTGTTGATATGGGATCTTGTAATTTTTCTGCATGCTTTCAGCTATTGGTGATATTGGAAACAAGTTACTTCTATGTATGAAGACGGTCCTATCATATCAAATATTCTAGTGGCAGGCCTGTATAGTAGGCCTCTGCTCTCTCTCTCTCTCTCTCTTTTTGGTGGTAGATATATTTGCAGTAATTGCAGTCATGTTCCTCCCCTCCCTCCCAGGGCAAAACCACAACAACGTTTATTCGTTTGTTCTATGTTTACACCTCTTTACAGTGTCATAATAAAAGTGTGAAGGCAATCTTCCATGAACATCATGAGTAAGGCTCAAACCATATTTAGCAATTCGAAGATTTAGCACATTCCCTGCCTTCCTATTAGAACAAGCATATTATCAACAAGGGACTTATCACTAAGATGTCTTCCAGGCAAGATGGTAGGTGGGATTGTACCATCGCAATTCAATGAATTAATCATCCTTGAGGGCCTTGTTTTTGATTGGAGCTCAATGTTGAGCCATTCTGGAGCTTTGGCTTTGCATAGAACTAACTTGATGGCTTCTGCTTCTTCTGATTCAGCATTTCTCATTTGGCTCTCTATGAAAGCCCTAGCAACTACTGGTTTTGCGATGCCAAATCCTTGCTACCATTTAGTCCAGGTTTTATATTTGCGCCACAGTTATGGTTAATCTATGTAATGGAACCGGAAATATGACTTGTTCTTGAACATCACAAATCACTTACCTTTATTAAGAGGGTGATTTCATGTGATTGGCTTAGATCCAGTTTGATCTGCTGTTTTACTCTGTGACTTCTTGTTACTCTTTTCTCTGGGTGGTAATATGACAATTCAACCTTTAAATTGTCTCACATGATGACTTTTTTTTGGTTGATTAATGTGGATAAATTTCTTGTTCTGATATTTCATGGCCGTTTCATTAGGGATTCTTCGTTCAGAGATTTGAGAACTAATTCGGGGGATATTTCAAGGATTAGTAGCTCAAATGAGGCCTTGACTTCTTTCCTCAAACAAGACCGAGAGAGAGATAGCAATCAACATATTAGGAAACAGAATGATGGTAATGCAGCACCCCGGTTTCAAAGTGGAGTTTTGCGCACCAACTGCATTGATTGCTTGGACCGAACAAATGTTGCTCAATATGCTTATGGATTAGCAGCTTTAGGTCGCCAGCTTCATGCTATGGGTTTGACAGATAAGCCTAAAGTGGATGCCGATAGCAGCATTGCTGCTGCTCTTATGGATATGTACCAAAGCATGGGTGATGCCCTTGCCCAGCAGTATGGTGGATCTGCAGCTCATAACACTGTATGCATGCATGTTCACTTTTGTATTTGCCCTGCCTGTATATAGCCTATAATGAGCATGATTAGTGTTTGTCAAACATGTCATGGAAGAATTTTTATTTTTCCAGGTGTTTCCTGAACGGCAGGGCAAGTGGAAGGCTACTACTCAGTCGAGGGAATTTCTGAAGTCTATTAAGAGATACTACAGCAATGCATATACAGATGGGGAAAAGCAAGATGCCATAAATTTGTTATGTCCGATTCCTTCTTTATTTTGGTTTCTTTCTTTGTCTTTCCATGATGTTTCCTCTTCTTGTTGCCTTGTAAAATAGACCTCTTAGTAAGTGTGAGCTACACCAGTTTATATCTAAGTGTGACACTTTTAAGACTACTTGGGCATTGAATTCATCCTCTCTGAATGTTTTCTTTGATGGATTTACCAGATTCTTGGGTTATTTCCAGCCTCAGGAGGGAAAACCTGCACTATGGGAGTTAGATTCTGATTACTATCTTCATGTATCAGGAATTGGAGATGATTTCATCCCTGAAAAGAGGTAAATAATTCTACTCGTTTGTGATGCTTTTCAAGTAATATATCATGTAGTCATTCTACTTGTTGAATATATCTAGATATGTGTGATATATTATACATCAATTATAGGGATTAGATAGCCTGATTATTAGCCTGATTATCCTAGTTTAATTATAGGAAGTAGATAGCTAATTATTCTAGCTAGATTTTAGGATCTTGATAGCTTGATTTTAGGATCTAGATTATTTCAATCTTGTATATATATGTCAGTTGTACTACTCACATATGAGTGTGTAGGAATGTCATCCCAAAATATCTTCCTCTCTTGCTTCTTCTCTTTCATGGTATCAGAGCAAGTGAGAAAGAGAAATTCGTTTTCTAATCATCCCACCCGGTGATTTTACCCGGTGATTTTCTTTAACCCAATATCATTATGTCTACATCCGATACATCTATAACATCTACATCTAAATCCACAACTCCCCCTCTCATGGCCAATCCATCTATTACTGGTTGTACTATTATTACTACCGAAAAACTAAAAGGCAGTAACTACTCTACTTGGGCTGCTGACGTTGAGCTATGGTTTATGGGACAAGGATATAAAGATCATCTTACTACTAAACCTGATGATACTATGACTGATCCATCCAAGTGGGAGCGAATCGATGCTCAATTGTGTAGCATGCTTTGGCAGACCATTGATTCTTCACTAAAGCAAATTTTCCGTCCACATAAGACTTGCTTTAGTGTTTGGGAGCAGGCCAAAGCATTATACACTAATGATACATCTCGTGTTTATGCCGTTTGTTCTGATTTGATGAGTCTCATTGCACCTCGAAAACTTGATATGCCTATGAGTTCTTACTTAGGCAGAATTCAAGGGGTCCTTTCCGATTTCAATGAGTTGCTACCCCCTGCTGCAACTCAGCAGGAACAACTCTCTCAGCGAGGTACATTTTTTATGCTTTTTGCTCTCTTTGGATTACCTGCAGAATATTCTACCATTCGTGATCAGATTCTTGCTAGCCCCACAATTCCTACTTTGTCTCAAGCTTTTTCACGGCTGTTACGGCTCCCGGATGAATCAAAATCATCTTCGGAGACTATCGTTGTTGATTCATCAGCTTTGGCATCTCAATCCAGCCAAAGAGGAGGTCGTGGACGTGGCCGTGGTCGAGGTGGTTATAATGGTAACAAAAATCGACCCTACTGTGACTATTGTAAAAAGGTTGGCCACACAGAAGATCGGTGTTGGCTCTTGCATGGACGTCCTCCCCAACAAGTGGCGAATATTGTTCAATCCGAACCTTGCGCAACTTCAGAACCAACTCTCAAGCCCGAGTATGAAGATTTTGTGAAATGGTTTACAGCCAAACAATTTTCCACACCTACTGCCTCAGTTGTACACACTAGTAATGTTAGTGCATGTGTCTCTCAATCTCCATCTCTTGGCCCATGGGTTTTAGATTCTGCTGCCACAGATCATATTTCTGGTAATCCACAACTTTTCTCTTCACTCCACAGTTCTACTTCTCTACCCAATATTACTCTTGCTGATGGCTCACAAACCCAAGCTAAAGGGATTGGCAAGGCTAACCCTCTACCTTCTGTGCCTCTCGATTCTGTTCTTTTTATACCCAATTGTCCTTTTAGTTTAGTATCTGTTCGTCGTTTGTGTCGTTCTCTTAACTGCTTAGTTACATTTGATGAGGAATCTGTAATTTTACAGGATCGAGGTACGAGGCGGACGATTGGCACAGGGCGTGAGTCTCAGGGACTTTACCATCTGTCTTTACCAACACCAGTATCTTGTTCTGCTGTAGATGATCCTCTGCTAATCCATAGTCGTTTGGGTCATCCAAGTTTAAATAAGTTTCGAAAGATGGTGCCATCTATTACTGTGTCTTCCTTAGAGTGTGCATCATGTCAGCTTGGAAAACACACTCGTAGTCATTTTCCGAAAAGGGCTAATAGTAGAGCTGAATCTCTATTTTCTTTGGTCCATACTGATATTTGGGGACCGAGTCGTGTTATTTCTACTTTAGGTTTTCAGTATTTTGTCACTTTCATTGATGATTATTCTCGTTGTACTTGGGTGTTTCTTATGAAGAATAGATCTGAAGTGTTTTCTATTTTTCAAAGTTTTGTCTCTGAAATTCAAACACAATTTGGTGTTTCCATAAAAATCTTACGTAGTGATAATGCACATGAGTATTTCTCCACCTCTTTCAAGTCCTTTATGGAGTCTAAAGGGATCATTCATCAATCATCATGTTCTCACACCTCACAACAAAACGGGATTGCTGAAAGGAAAAATAGACATTTGGTTGAAACAGCACGTACTTTACTTCTTCATGCAAATGTTCCGTTACGTTTTTGGGGGGATGCCATTCTCACTGCATGTTATTTGATTAATCGCATGCCATCATCTGTCCTTAAGGATCAAGTTCCTTACTCTTTTGTATATCCTAATACTCCACTATTTTCTATTTCCCCTCGTACATTTGGCTGTACATGTTTTGTACATGATTTCACTCCTGGAAAAGATAAGCTGTCTTCACGTGCTGTCAAATGTGTATTTTTGGGGTACTCTCGAACACAAAAAGGGTACAAATGTTTTTCTCCTGATCTTAGACGACACATCATATCTGCAGATGTTACGTTCTTTGAGTCTACTCCTTTCTTTCAGCTTAACAAGTCTGAGCATTCTACAATCACGGAGGATATTCCTGTTTCTACTTATTTTGTTCCTCTTACTCATGACACTGACATTAGTCAGCCTCCTAAAGAGTCCTTACCTTCACCCGCATCACCACCATTGCTCACTTACCAGAGACGCAATGTAAGGAATTGTCCTACTACAGTTCCAGATAATGGTGTTGGAGAATCTGCTGATGTCCCTGATGCCTCACGAACTATTCCAAGTTCGTCACCTACCACGATCTCCTCTCCAGCCAGCCCACCCATTGCTGTCCGCAAAGGTATTCGTTCTACTCGCAATCAATGTCCCAACTATACTTGTCTCAATTATCAGCGCGTGTCTTCATCCTATTATGCCTTTTTGTCCTCTTTGTCGTCCATGTCTGTTCCTAAAACTATAGGTGAGGCTATGTCCCACTCTGGGTGGCGTCGGGCAATGATAGATGAAATGGCTGCTCTTCACTCCAATTCCACTTGGGAGCTGGTCCCACTCCCACCTGGTAAATCAACTGTTGGTTGTCGTTGGATTTATACTGTTAAAGTTGGTCCGGATGGTCAAATTGATCGTCTTAAAGCTCGTCTAGTAGCTAAGGGTTATACTCAAATTTTTGGTCTGGATTATACTGACACCTTTTCTCCAGTGGCCAAGATGTCTTCTGTTCGTCTCATCTTATCTCTTTCTGCTGTTCATCATTGGCCTTTGCACCAATTAGACATCAAGAATGCATTCCTTCATGGTACATTGCAGGAGGAAGTTTATATGGATCAACCACCTGGTTTTGTTATTCAGGGGAAGTCTAGTGGAATGGTTTGTCGACTAAAACGTGCACTCTATGGTCTCAAACAATCTCCTCGGGCCTGGTTTGGACGCTTTCGTGATGTTGTCTAAAAATATGGCATGATCCGTAGTGAGGCTGATCATTCAGTGTTTTATCGTCATTCTCCATCAAAAGGTAGCATTTATCTTGTCGTTTATGTCGATGATATTATTATCACTGGACAGGATCATGATGGAATTGCTCAGTTAAAGAACCACCTTTTTGGCCATTTCCAGACGAAAGATTTGGGCAAGCTTCGTTATTTCTTGGGTATCGAAGTTGCCCAATCCAAAGAAGGTGTTGTTATTTGCCAACGAAAATATGCATTGGACATTTTGGAGGAGGCAGGCATGTCAAATGCTAAGCCTGTCGAAACTCCAATGGATCCCAATATTAAATTATTTCCAGGACAGGGGGAGCCACTTAAGGATCCTGGAAAGTATCGTAGGCTTGTGGGACGGTTGAACTATCTTACAGTAACACGTCCTGACATATCTTTTTCTGTCTCAGTGATTAGTCAGTTTTTAGATTCCCCGTGTGATATTCATTGGAATGCAGCTCTCCGCATTCTCAAATATATCAAAGGAGCACCTGGCCAAGGATTGTTGTATACTGATAAAGGAAACATGCAAGTAATTGGTTACACTGATGCAGATTGGGCAGGATCACCTATTGATCGTCGTTCTACCACAAGTTATTGTATTCTGGTTGGTGGCAACTTAATATCTTGGAAAAGTAAAAAACAAGATGTGGTTGCTAGATCCAGTGCTGAGGCTGAGTATCGAGCCATGGCTATGGCTACATGTGAGCTAATATGGCTTAAACAATTGCTCAATGAGTTGAATTTGGGGACTAGTGACCCAATGAAGTTGATTTGTGATAATCAAGCTGCACTCCACATTGCCTCCAATCCAGTCTTTCATGAGAGGACTAAGCACATTGAAGTTGATTGCCATTTTGTTAGAGAAAAATTGATCTCCAAAGTTATTGAGACGGGTTTCATTAATTCAAGTGATCAACTTGCAGATTTTCTTACCAAGTCCCTAAGAGGTCCTCGTATAAAATATATATGTGGCAAGCTTGGTGCATATGATTTGTATGCTCCAGCTTGAGGGGGAGTGTTGAATATATCTAGATATGTGTGATATATTATACATCAATTATAGGGATTAGATAGCCTGATTATTAGCCTGATTATCCTAGTTTAATTATAGGAAGTAGATAGCTAATTATTCTAGCTTGATTTTAGGATCTTGATAGCTTGATTTTAGGATCTAGATTATTTCAATCTTGTATATATATGTCAGTTGTACTACTCACATATGAGTGTGTAGGAATGTCATCCCAAAATATCTTCCTCTCTTGCTTCTTCTCTTTCACTACTCTTCAAGTGATATATCATGTAATCATTCTTTTTTAGGTCTGCTTGTGCACCAACTTGTGTTGCAACTCTTTTGCTTGTTTCTTATCGAGGTCTACTGGTCTATTAACTGACTGTAACTGCAATAAAATTTAAAATTAGCCTGGTCAACTGATTCCTGGTTTGACTGGTTCGACCAGATTTAACAGCCCATTCAACTGATGTTATGGTTTTTCTTTTCCTAGAAAAATGTAAAAAGAATAGTTTTGTTGATAAATTTGTAAGATGACAAATAAAACATAGGATCCTGCATCTCAAATAGTTGTGTAACAAAAGTATTCTGAACTTTTAGAAACTTGTGAACTTGGTGCTAAAATTGCAAAGTGAAATTTAAAACCTTTTTGAAAATGAAAAGTATTAGCAAATTCAGAAAGCAATCAAGGTTGTCCTTTCTGAGCCAATTGGTATACCAGCTCCTATCGAGTTTGATTTACTCTGAACCAGACCCACCAGCTGATCAGTTATTGGTCAGAACTGGCAACCTAAGCAGTCTGGGCTGTCTTAGAATTGCCAAGTTATTGATGAAAATGATTCGGTTTTTATCATGGAGCATTGGCTTGTATTTTTTCACTGGTTGCTTATGTGCTCGATTAGATGGAAAGACACAACTATTTGCTCAATTATGTGTTTCAATGTTTTATTTTTTTAACAGAGTTGCATATGTAGCACCTGTTCGCCTTTGGATAAAGTTTTTTGTTGTTCATCCAAGGCTCTGGAACGCATGTAAACCATTTTGCCTTAGATCATCTAGATGTTTTTTACTGGATTGATTAGCTTTAAGGAAACTATGAATGGTCTTCTTGAACATTTGAGTTATAGCAGAAAGGAAAATTTCGTGTAAAAGGAAAGTTATGCACAAAGTCATAGCTAGCTTCAAGTCGAGAGGAAAAAGAAAAGGAACCACTAGAATAGCCTGGGAGACATTTTAAAATATCTCCATTGTTTTCCTGCTTGTTTAGATTTTGTTTTCCTTGTTCTTTTGCTTTCCTTCTATTTGTTCTTTCTCATAGATAATTGTTTTTTTAGTCTATTGCTGGAGTCAGCTTAATGTTATAATTGTTTAGCTTCATCATGAAAACAGAAAGTTCTATATTTTGAATTCCTGTCACCAAAATGGGACTGGACTTGCAGGATTATGGAATGATCTAGCTGAATTTATGGAAACAAAAAACTTACACATGCACCTTGTGGTGTGAATTCTGCTATTGGTGCCTGCATCTCTAAGCTATTCTAAGAAAATTTTCCCTTGCAGTTGGAAGTCTGTGAATTACCTTGGCATGCACAGAGACAAAAATAGTTCATATGATCCCTCAAAATTTTCGACCTTTTTTCTTTGTTTTTTTCTTCTGATGACTGTTAGATCAATACTTGATGCTTTCCTATTTCAGTTCCCTGGTTGAAGCTGAGCTTGGAGCACAAGGCAATTCTTTTGCCCCTATTCCAGCTAGTAAAGAGGACTTTTCACGCATAAAGTTGACATCCCTTGATAAATTGATTGAAAGAACTTGCAGTTCAATTAAGAATGTTCGGCTTTACAGTGAAACAGACCAGAAAACTGGAAGTTTTGGAGTGGCCCCTGATGCAGCGTACTTCTCTATCCAATTATACAACTAGCATCCTTGTCTCTTAATTGTAGAGCTTCCTCAAATTTAAGTACCATATGCATGATGCTCTTGCACATATATGGAGAAACACCAAGAAAGAAATTCACCTTATTGTTCATTTTATTAATGTGTGAGATTATCATTCTGTGATGGATATGCACATGATGCATGATCACTACAGCTTGGCTTAAAAAGATGGTTCTAATTTCCTTGTCTTATTATTCCTTTTTGTGTGTGTCCTCTTTATCTTCTATGCATATCATCTAAACCAAATTCTCTACCGATGTCAGAACTGACATGTTGAAGATACTCATGATACTTGGACAATTTAATTTTTGATGTGTAGCATGTGTTGGACTATGCTTCTAGTTTTTGAAATTCTGACTGAGGTTTGCTTTTACATTTATGGCATCTGGAACTTATTTTTGGATTTGCATATGAAATTTATAATTTACTGTCTGCTAAGGTGCATACATTGCACTTTTCCCGGGCTTTCTGTGCTCCTGGGAAGGTGGCGGACCATGATCAATGTGGTATTATATTTGGATTATTCTTATTGGCACAAAGTTGTCATAATCTTGACTTTCAAAATGGTTTGTGCAGTAAGACAAGCTTGGTTTATTGTGAAATATTGGATTTTGAGAAAGGTCAAAGGGAATATTCTCTAGAGCGATTTCAGTGTAGATTTTTATGGTTTCTGAGATATGCAAATGCAGGGTGATGCATTTCACACGTGTGAAGGAATGTTTTATCTTAGAGGTCAAGCTACATCTAATGTGGCAACCTGATAAGTATGTAGGCTAGTGGGTAATCTTAAATTGTGGCTTATTTTATGCTCTCCTGCTTTGAATTATATTTTTGTTATGTGAGGGAAGGCTTTTGTTTGTTGCTTGATCCATCCTTGCTTGAGTTCATTTTTTGAGCCAATTAAGGCTCACTAGCTTAAGCTAAGGTAGAGTGACTACAGTGTGGTTAGAGATCAGGTCGCTAGTGCTTGTACACGTGTAATTTAGTCATACCTTGGAATGATAGCTCTAATCTGTTATATGGAATGATATTGTTTATAATTGACTACAAACTCTCTGCAGAGAAATACAGCTCAAGAGCCCTAATTGGCTTTTTGGACAGAGGAAATATTATGATACTAACTCAGGTGCAAAGGTTGGGTCAGATGAGGTTATAGACAGGGATTCTCATGATAAAAAGCGAGTTGATGCTTTATCTGACCTCAGTTGGCTTTCCCCTACAAGTGAAATTAATGATGAGGATTTATTCCAAAGGTATCTTCTTTATAAGCTGTGCTTATTGCTTGCTAACATCGGTTGCCTTCTGCTATCTTCTTTGTTCTGTATTATGGGTGTACATCAGTTTCATCTACAAACGTGATTTAGCAGGTGCAAAGCTTATGTGGACCAGAATGTGCGATCTGCCTGGCTAGTTTCTTGCTAATCCATCTCTAGGGTGCCTTTGCTCTTAAATGGGTGAAGCTAAGTTTGCATGTTTGCTAGTTCTGAAATACAACTGAGAATTCCATGTCCAAACTTTGGTTAGTGGGTGCAAATTTATGACTGGCCACTGTAGTCTGTCTAGTCAGAATATTGCTAACCAGTCTCTGCTCTTACTTTTATTATACATCGAAGCTGGGCTTGCATGTTAATCATGCTTATTTTCCTGATGGTGTGGTAGCCTCGTTGTGCATGCCACCTTTCATGTATGTCTGCAGAAGAGTTTCTTTGTTCAATAATGTATTTATTTAAGTGTAAGGTATGCTGCCAAAAGTGCCATAAGCCACTTAACTAAAGAAGTTTAAGGTTTTCTAGTAGGTTTGCATAATTGACCCTTTCCCAACATAATTTTTTGGAAAAAGACGAGAGAAGATTTAGGAAGCATAAGCATAGAAAGGGTTAGTTCATCTATTTATATGTTCTGGTATTGCAAGTAATTTGGGAAATTTTGATGTGGAATATCAAATCAATTACTCTAATAGGACAAACACAAATTATATCCTAATACTCCCCTCAAGCTGGATCTTATATCTTGCTACAGATAAAATCCATTCTAATTCTTGGCAAGGATTCATAGTCAGCAAGTTGTTTGCCTATTGACATGACTAGGAGACATTATCTTTGTGTTGAAGTTCTTCCCTTACAAAATGACAATCGACTTCAATGTGTTTAGTAGGCTCATGGAATACAGGATATTATGGGATATGCTAGGGCTGCTTGATTGGAGAAATTCTGATCAGCAATCATGTTTTTTTCTTGTTCCTATTTCTTTCTTTTTCCTAATGTTGTTGGTGGGAACCTAGTATGATACCATGCAGAGAAAGAGTAGAGAAATTAAGTGTTCCCCTAGAAGTGTGAGTAATCTATTTATGTACTCGGAAACTACCAGGAATTAGAAAAACTCGTGATTTGGGATATTAAGGAAATTACTTTAATAGGACCGGCACTGTTTAATCTAATTTTTTGTTCTGTGTCCTTTCTGAGTTTCCTAATTGTATAGAGAGGTAACTATGGCTATAGAAAGCTCCCCCTGGGTTATGGGTGAATAAAGTTGGAATGGAAGGTCGAATTCTCATCTTTATACTTATAATGACCTGTCAACTGTATGTGGCCATATTTCAAAAGTTTCTTAGGTGAGGGTGAATCGAATATACATTCAGGTGCAAGATACCCAATTTCAGCTATGTGATAGCTTCTTGTGTCCCCTAACCAATAGGGCCAATAGGGTTTTTTATACTTCAGTCCCCTTTTGTACCCATTGACTCCTTTTCATTATGTTTCAGAATGACCCTTCCACTTAGTGTTTGGGATAAAATCTGACTGTCAGCTGCGCATTTGAATGCACATGGCTTTCAATTAATTAAATCACCATCGAATAGTTTCTTCTTTCCCTATTTCCTTTGTTTCTCCTTCTTTATTCTTTTCTCCTCTCTTTGTTTGCCTCATCCTTCTTCCAGCCAAATCACACAACAACAGGCTGCGCACATGCTCTCACTAGGAAAAGACAACACAAATGCATTGAGGGAGGCAGACTGATCGCACTAGCCATTTCTCGTTCAGAATGGATGAGTAATTTATGCAATTTTGATTAATATAAAAGAAAATAAAAACAGAAAGCCATGACTTGTGGAATCTGATTCATATTAAAGACGGAAGATTTAGCTTGGATAAATTCAGAACTAACAACTTTTGGTGTTGATCATTTTCAATTTGATTTGTCTCTCTTGTTTTGTGTCAAAGAAAATAGATGTCAAAGTAATTGTGAGGCATTGAGAGTCATGCTAATTTAAAAAGAGTCTGGAAATTTGATTATTTTTGGTAGGTTGTACCATGAAGATAGCAATCTGTTGCCTGAGAATTGTAGCCCCAGACATTGTTGGGGAGAAGTTAGTGTGGGAGAACCCAGGAGCAAAAAGAGAAAGAAAACCGGGAATTGAAGAAGAAAATTTTAAAATCAGTATTTGAAAAAGGAGAGAGAAAGTAAGAAGCGAGTGAAAGTAAAACTAGGAAAATAATGAAAGACGTGAGCTTCATGCCAAGCACTTGCCAGTTAACCGTAGATTTAATTCCAGACTCGGACAGAGGGGTGTTTGCTATACATAACGAAAAAATTTGAGGAAAAAGGGATAAACCTTAGTTGAGGTGGCTAAAGGTCCACATCCTAAAGTTAAACTGTTCTACTGTGCCTTTTGAAGTTTTAAATTTGACTTCTGCTATTCAAGAAAATGAAACAGGGAATCCTACAATAGTTGTTTTATTGAATACTCAGCAAGCTTCAAAGTCAATCAGAAGCTGCTATTATTTTTTCCCCCTTTCAAGCTTTTGGTGACCTATATTCCAATTGTTTAACACGAAATCCATTCTTATATGTAAGCCTCATGTAAATATATCTGATTCTGGTCTTTCTTACTGTTACAAAATACTATTATTGTTTGGGCTCATGCTAAGTTGGTAGTGTTAGCTTTGGAAGCTTCCAGAATTGATGTTTCAGTTGTCTTTTATGTACTTGATAATTGAGGATAACTGGCAAAATGCACGGAAACTTCTCTTCTTGCATGTTATTTCCGTCAAACTCTGATTTCATTTACTTCCTACTAATCCATTCTCTGGTAAGTATTTTTATCCCACTGAATGTCTCAGACAAAAGATTAAAAACAGTGTACTCAAATTGGATAAAAGATTTAATATTGCCCTTGATGTCACTTGTTGACAAGCAAAAGAAGAAACTGCTAGGTATTGTTGCCATTGTCAAAGCTACGTTTTGCATGTCTAAGAACTGTACAACATTCTCAGCTACATGTTTGATTCCTGATCCATTGCAATTTCACTTGTTCTGTAGATATCTTGCAATGACGTCAGTAAATGAGGCAAATGGCTGGTACGGTGGCACATTGCTTGGTGATCAAGATGAAAGCAGTGAAATCTATCAACATTATGCTGAACTTGTCCAGGTATTGGGCAACTGTTTTCATGCAAATCCTCAAATTAGAGTTTAAGATGCTTAAAGTTCAATTAGCTTTTTTAGCTTAATATATGTTCGAACTAATTATTTGAATATTCATTCTTGCCTTGAGGTTTTGTTGCATAACATTGCTTTGTCTTTCATTTAGAGTTAAAGATTATTGGCTCTTTTGACTTGAGTCTGTATAATTTCTTTATAGTTTGGTCCTTGTCAGAAAAGCTTTTAGTTGTTACAAACAGTCTTAATTGGAAATCTAGATCCAGATTTCTGAGTTGGGGAGGTCTCCAGTTACAAGCAGCAGGTTGCATCTGAAGTTGAAAGTCTAACAAAATAATGGTAACAAAATAAGAAGTAAATACAAAACAATGGTAGCCTCTATGGGTTGCCTTCTTCTGTATGCTTCCTCTTCCTTGTAATGGTAACAATAAGAAGTAAATACAAAATATTGGTAACAATGAGAAGTAAATGTTTTTGACTATTGTTAGGGAAAACTATTCATGTGTTCTATCCATCATAAGACTTTTGCCCACTTTGTTAAGTGAAACAAATTTTGTTCCGTTACTGAGGAGCATTAAGATAATCAAACGTTATTAGGATCTTCATGACTATGGAGGAACAAAGCTGTATGTTCGTTCTCTGAGCTTCCATAATAATCATCCTTCTAAGATGGTGTCATAAAACTTGGTTTCCAATCTTTCAAAATCTATTTTTCTAATTAAGAACGTAGTAATTAATCACAAAAGGTAAAGGAATTAATAATATGTATGAAACTGCATAAATCAACTTGTTAAACTGGGATAAAGTTGGAATATCTACGTAGTATTTTGAGTTTCAATATTTTTGTTAAAATAGGTCGAAAAAACTAAGGTGTATGACTTTTGAAATAAATAATTACAAACAGAGCGAACATTTTCTGAATCATGTCAAACTGGTATATAACAACAATCAATTTTAGGCATGAAAGGAAGTTACATATCAATATTTAGAAATTATCAAGTTCTCAGATATTGATTGTAAGAGAGCTGACTGTCTATGATCTCTAGGTCCATGTTTTATCTATTGGATGGAGTGGTCAAATAGGCTTTTGTTCCTACTCAATTTTTTATAAATATTTCAATAAATTCAAATTTGCACCTTCAGGTCAAAATTTCTGTAAAATAGTCTGATAGATCTTAAAAGTACTGGATTGGAATGTCGTTCTCTTGGACACAGGAGAAGCAGATTGTTTGCAAGCGCTTTTAACTAGTTTTATTTTCTCGTGTAGGAGGATTTAAGTTTTTATTGGTCTTTATTTTTAAGTCCATTGCTGCTGTCCCGGTGGTGAGGGATGTTTGTAATAATCGAACAATGCATGTCTAATTTAGTAGCGGTTTATAGGTTACTTTTACAAAAGGCCAGCTTAAGAAAAACCTCTTGATGGTCATGGCATTGACAAATTCAAGTCTCATCAGAAGCTTGGTGTAGGTGTTCACTGCCTTGACACTTTAACTGCTTGTGTTTTAGGATCGCACTGGTGTCCAACTCATAGCTATATAGTGACAGCTGGTATTAACTGAAGGCAACCTACTTGAACCCTGCTTGTAGTACATGCTCTGTATCCTCACTATGGTACCGCTAATGAGTACTTGTTAAATCACATCCTGTCTGCCTAAGGCACTTATAAAATAGGATATTATGCTCCCAGTGCGCTAAGATCCACCACAAAAGGCTTCATTTCTCCCTCAGGATTCTGTTTCTTGTTGTCTGGAGTTAGGGGGCAAAGGCTACATAATCCTGGTGGTCCTAACTTGGGACCACTTCTTGATTTCCTGTAAATGGAGAGATGTACTACCTTACAAGTATTTTTGCATGATTGATGTGAACTACAGTATTTTGAATGTTCTCTTTTGCCAGGACTCATCATAACCTGTATCCTAGAGCTGTTCGACCTATGGTTTATCCTGGAAGTACAGAATTACTGAAGTAGAAGCTTTAGTCACACACGAAGCATACAATTCTTTATCTAGAAATATCAGTATTTTTTCCTTGATACACACGTCATTCACAGATTTCCTTTCATAGACTATACTCTGTCCTCTTTAATGTACTATGCATTTCAGTTTATGGTTTCGCTCGAGGCTGCTACATCACATGCTTAGATTCTTTCTCACCATAAGATCCATATTTCCCTCTTTGTTTTACTTCTCTTTTCTAAGGGTGGCAATTGGGGTGGGTGCCTGCGTGGGGGTAGAAAAGGGGCAGGGGATGGGACACCCCTGCCTTAAAACTGGGCGAGGGGCAGGTCAACATACACCTGCCCCATCCCCTGCCCCGTCCCCTGCATACAATATACATATATATATATTTAAATTTATAGATGTATATACAATACATATATATACACAATATAATAATTTAGTTATGATCCAATTCTTTATATTTAATAATATAATTAATAACATAATTGTGAACATATATTTGTGACTTGGTCCTATTACATCTTAGTCGGATATTTTAATGTCATTTTCATGGTATTGACAAGTTGCTAATTTTCTTTAGTTATTAGTATTTTCAACTCGTTGAATGGTCTAAGGTTGAGTACTTGAGGATGTCTTTATTGGATATTTTGAGATAGAATGAATGATAAAATTGTCTCGTAGCTGAGTAGATTGTTAAATATGGTAGGTTGATTTCTTCCCCTACAGGGGACCGCAGGGGAAACAGGGTGGGGGCAGGGGGCGGGAGACGGGGGGGTGTTATTTGACAACCCCCTCCCCATTGCCACCCTTACTCTTTTCTCTGATCATGCCTTGACTAAAAGCACTTTAATGGGACATCCTAAATACTACCATTATTTATCAAAAATATAAATCTATTGTTGCGATATCCTACTTTTCTGTTTGCCATGCTTCTCACAGTATTTTGACTTGTATATTTTTTTCATGTGTCCAACTACATTGCTTGAGCAGCTCTGTACATGCACGACCCTCTTTTATATTTTTTTATTTTCTAAATTTTAAGTCAAGCAACCTTCTGAAGTATGATAGTAGCCTACATATTCCAAAACAAAAATGTGGCTCTTACAGTAGCCTGCATATTCCGAAATAAAATGTAGTTCTTACTGTAGTATAAAAGCGATTAAGACATGGCTATTTTTGTGCTTGTAGTTGTCTTTTATGTAAGATGATGTTGATGGGTGTAAGAGAACCATGAAAACAGTCATATAGGTTTGCTTGTAAACTGTTAATGAATACTTTAAAGGAATTAGCCTTTTCTTCTAGATTCTTTGGGAAGCAGGCTTGGCATCCTATGCCAAACCTTTTTCATCAGTATGAGCTCTTGTGGGAGATCAGCCTGTTATCCCTGGAGTAATTTTTTCAAAGAGGTTACTGCTTTGAACATTGGTTTCTGGGGGAACATAGACACGTAGCATGGGAGTTTGGGCTTAAGAGTGACGTGCATGCTATCCCATGTTATTAAACTGTCCCATCCTAAGATAAGCAAGTGCATAAATGTTTATTTAATTTTGCCACAAGCATTTCCAAAATATTTGAACAGAATAGACACCTGCAAGTAAAAGATACAAGTAGAAAAGTATCTGTAATTAAGTTGTTTTTTGCTGCATTGATTTAGTTTTTTGGGCTATGAAAGGATATATGCATTTCTGTATGCTCCCCATATGTCCTCATTATCGCTTAAGTGATTGTGGAACTTGCAGGGCCCTGCAATGGAACCATTTCAAGATGACCTTGAGAAGGAGAAATATTACGCTGACATCCTGCAGAGAGGCACAATGGGAATCATGGATGATACAGCTGCTGAAGCTGAGATGGAAGCGGCTTTCAAGGAGTATGAACAAATTGGTGCTGATCTGGGGATCATCCCCAGTTCATGCAATGCTTTGGCCGTTGATCCTAGTCTGGTGACACAATGGATCATTGGGGAGCAGAGGATGCACAGGATATGATGGTACAGAGCTTTTTCTGTACGATGCTTAGTTTTCTATTCTGAAGTTTTTACTTAAATTGGTGTTTATTGATGATAGTGTGGATGAGTGTTTAGTGTCTTTTTTTCTGGGGCGGAGGAGCCTGTTGTTTTTTTGGGCTGAGCTCCTCTTCTTTTTTTTTCCCCCCATTTTCCTCCCGTGGTGGTCTGGTTTGGGGTTATGGGTGGGGGGCCGTGCAAGAGAGGCTGTTGTTCTTGGGCTGAGATACTCTTGGGGAGTTTTTTTATTTTGTTGCGTATAGTAATCTTTTGCGTCTAAAATCTGTATGCCCTACAATCTCTGTTGTAAGGTTTGCTGGTGATTTTCGTTCTCATGTATCAAGCTGATTGGCATCAGTATGAACATTCTGTTCTTGCTTATCTCTGTCTTTTGCTGTTCTTCTTCTGTTTTTTCTGCATTGCTGATTTGCTTACAGAATCATATTATCTTGCAATCAGCTTCTGCGATTTGTTTTGCCACTAGGTCATGACTAATTTGAACGGGAAATATGATATTAGACCCTCGTTCCACCTTTCCTTTTCAATCTGGCTTTATTGTACAAACTCAAATTTATAACTTAGTGACTCACAAACTAACAAACAAGTAGTCAACCATTACCAAAAACGCAGACACTTTCTGAAGTTTCTAATGAGAACGCCCTGGCGAACTGTAATTGGCAAGTCATTACTCCGAATGGTACAAAACCGATAGTTCCATCAATTGGAGTAGATGGTTGAACGTCGTATAGAGAAAATTTGCAGAAAGGCACTTATAATTGGTTTCTGCTATTCTTTACCCCAAGGGCACAAGATGAACACAAAAAAAAAAAAAGGGTTGGTTCACAACAAAATGTTATGTTAGCACTCATCTATTGAATTGAGGATACTTTAAGATTGATGACCTTTGGCAAAGCAAGACCTGCCTCTTATAAGAATCCTTTTCTATTTAGTAATAGTTTCAATTATGTTCATAGATGGTCCTTGACTATATTTTTCTACTCCAAAAACTACTATTTATGGTTGAGATTGTGCTGCATAAGAACCTAAAAATATTTCATACTTTGATTTAAGCTACATAAACTAATTTTTTTTTTTTTTTAAGTAGACTTTGATAGGACTCCACTAATTTGGCAACTTGAAGCTGCAAGTTGGGCGTCCGCATTCAGAGTTATTAATTATGATTAAGTGGGAGCTCAACTTCATACTAGAGCAAAATTCTTTTTAGTTTGTGCTACATTTGACGACAATTTTGGCAACCGAGAATGTGAAAATCCTCTAGCAAAATAGACCCTTAATCTCCTTTTGAAGTTTTAATAACTCCTACTTGCCATTTTTTAACTAGTTGGACCCTTAATTTATCTCCAGGACCATTCCACAAACTGACATAACTCTCCAACTTTCACATGGTTAATAGTTCTAAGAAAATAAGACCTAACAATAACTTTATACTTTTGTGCCACCAGTTCCACTTCATGTGATGAAATATTTTAGTACAATGTGGAAAGCTGCAAAAGGTGCCTATCCCCGCCACCTTTTTTTGGGACCACGGGCAGGAACGGTTGCACCTGCAACCGTTTCTAGTGATTTTGTGCATTTTGCACGTCGCGTAACTTTGTTTGCATAATATGTAATTTTAGAACAAATTTTTGTGAGCTCCACACACGTTGTTAAAAACGAGGTACAAGAAGTGATCAGGACCGTACAATTTTTTTGAGCCAAATCCTGACCATTAACTGTTCAGGGACGGTCTTTCTTATGACCGTCCCTGTCCCGTCTCCCTTTTTTCAATACAGGAAATATTTCAATTTTGCCAGATTAATCTCTCTACGCCTGTGCACCCTGCCCTCTAAGAATACACAAGCGGTAGAGAAATAACTCGAACACACGAACTCGAGACCTAACTAGGCTACTCCGAGTCCTAACTAGGCTACTCCCAGACCATCCGAGCGAATCCCAAGAGGCGTGTCGTGCCTATATATATCTCATGCAATTCAGTGGAGCAAATTCAGTACGGCAGAAGATGAAGCCCTATCACTTTCTTTGCTTCCTTGCAGTAGCTGCCATCTTGGTCTCATCAGGTAGATCATTTCTTTTCTCAATATATAGTTTGCACTGCAAGCAGGAAAATCAGCTTCCTTGAATTTCTTCAAGCTTGAAGTTGGGAAAAATGACCTACAAATTTCGAGGATGTAATTCTTAACATACTTCTTTAGTTGCAAGATAATTAGCGATCTAATCTTGCTACTTTGTTTCTGTTCGTACTTTCAGGGAAAATCACTATAGGCGAGAAGCACGGTATTCGGGAAAGATGCATGGAAGTAATGGAGGTTAATGGGTGCAATCTTTCATCCTGTAAGCAGCAATGCTGGGAAGTCAAGAATGGGAATGGAGTTTGCTTAGCTAAAGTGAGAGAGGGTTATCAGTGTGTGTGTTTTTTTGATTGTTAAAACTTGGAATTTACCAATCTATACCACGTTTGAGGGCTAAGTTATCAATGGAAGTTGGTTCTTTTTCTTTTTCCGTTTCATCGAATAGTTTATACTTTATACTATATGTGTTCTGTTCACTATTAGCACAAGCAACTTCTTGTTTAAGTTGGCAAGGACAAGTCTCATTCTTCCACATATCTTCAACAGATTTTGAAGCACATTTGGCTTGTGTCCAGCAAGATAGTTCTTTTTCATACTTGAAACATTGATATAAGAAATGACAGGCACTACTACTTTTCCCAAAAAAAGAACATAACATGTGCCACCTCCATGTGGCATAAGTCACTTGAGATGATACCTGAAAGTGTAGGGTACTTGTACTGATGTGCTAAAAAAGAAGGGGTAAGCTTAGTACTACTCAGTTATCCAATCAATAAGCAATAATACGAAACTGAGATCTCTATAAAGTAATATACTCCTTGAATAATTAGATGATGAAATTAGAGAATGAAATAAGTTTGTTTGGAATAAATCAGGATTCTTATTACAAAAGCATCAAAACTATAAGACAGTCACATGTTATTATTGGCTGTTTCGTCGGGTGGGGCCGGAAAGCGAAAGGCATATGATTAACGGATAAGAAGTTAGGGAAGTCAATTGTGGGGTGTATAACATTTTCTTTACTATTGATGATTTTGCTTTTGTTAAAGGAATTTCTTTGGAATTGGTCAACTATTTGAGAAAATATTATATTGTTTGATTGATGTTCACTGCTATTATATGAGTGTGGAAAATCAAAAAGTGTGTCTATATATACATGCGCGCGTGTGTATGTGTAAATATGTTTCCTTTCTAAAAGCCAGGCTTTATTTTTTTTTTTTTTTGGATAAAAGATAAATGTGCGTGTGTGTATGTGTATATGTGTTTCCTTTCTAAAAGCCAGGCTTTATTATTATTTTTTTGGATAAAAGGCAAATTTCAATATTGGTTTGCTAGAAATTGTCCAACACGATTTGATTTACATAACTGTTTTAATGGCAGGCTAAACATGTCTTAGAAATTATAGATCTGTAATTTAACAGATTCAATAGATCTGAAAAATTATGAGCAAATCTGAAAAATATAACAAATTTTAAACTCATCTTCTAAAAATAAATCGCTACAGCTCCCTTTTTCGCATGTTGCAATCACCAGATCTATTAATCAATAGCTGTAAATTCCAATAACGATGATGAGATTTGGCAAAATAGAACCAAAATTCAAAAAAATTTGATATTTGACAGTCAAATTTTAAATAAATTTAGATCTAACTGCAAAATAAGAAAAAATAATGCAAAAATCTCCATAAGAACCCTTATGAAATAGAAAATTCTCACTAGAAATCCTTGTAAGAAACACAAAACTCTTGGTAAGAAAATTTAAGAGACACTTTATTAGAAAAATAAAATAAAGCAAAATTCGTAGGAAATGGTCTCCCTCCTTTAAAGAAATGCCTTTGAGAGAAAAAGAAGAGGAGAAGGAGGAAGCCAGGCTTTATAGCATGATCCTTTTTTGACATCTCTGAACAACCTTCTATGCTTGAGTTTAAAATTTCTTACTTCCTCTTCTTTGTTTCCATGAAATTCAATGTAATAACTTCTTTTAGCCCTACACCAACAAATACATTACCAGAAATCTTCCTTTACGCCCTGTAACTAATAAGGATTTGGATCCGTTGCCACTTTATTTGGTAATTAATGCCTCTCAGGGTATAAGTTTATCAATTATGTTAAATAGCATTCAAGGGTTATATCATTGTTTATAAATTTAGAAATCAGTTGAATGATCAAATTAAAATATGGTTCTGTCTAATGGGTGCCCAATCATTGAAATTAAGTTTCAAAAATATTGAAATTAAGTTCTTGATTATATTTTGGCCAACTATTCTAAAATTATTAGCCTTACAATCAAATATACATCTAAAAATTATATATAAAAATGTGAATTCATGTATCTCCACTCTCCAAAAATATTTGAAAAAATAAATTAAAACAAATCATACCCAATTCAAGATCTTTTTATTGGAAATATGGCTTTCTAATGCAAGTTCGAATCACTGCTGATAAATTAATAAGAATATAGAGATGAAAATTTCTTGGTTTAGAGATCGTTCAAGGGTGTGCGTGATTTTGGTGTTTTTTTATTCCTATGAATAAATGAAGGTTTTACAACTTAGATAACTCAAATTAGATTTGAGAAAAACAAGAAAGAGAAGTTTGAAAACCAAATCAAGTAGTCAAACCGGGGTTGCTGGTTTGGCCAATTTTTGACCAAAGTGGTTTTGTGCAACTTACCAAGTCAGGAAGAAGGCCGATTCATGGTTAGATTGATCGGACCGTGACTAATTCGATCTGGGTCTAACAACACTGTTTTTGAGTTAAAGATTTTGTTAATTTCCTTTTACATTGTCAACTGAACCCTAATATTTGTTGGATCTTGCATGCACTCTTACTCTTTTTATTTATTTATTTTGTTGTCAAATTAAGTTATAAATCCAGGTAAACTCAGGTACAAGTTATCTATCCATATTGAGAAACATTGGCATATATACTACATTTCTAAGCACAGGCTTGAATATATATATATACACCAAAATACCAGACGGGACGAGGGTTTAGCCTCTTAAACCAGGAAAGTAAAGAAAATTAAAGAAAGGAAAAGCATAAGAGTAAGGAAGTGGGTCGCAGTCGGACTGCCACTAGTTAGTATAGGCGGTTAGACCAGCCATGTATAAACAGAATGTAAAAACAAGAATTAAATGGATATGAGGCGGCTCAGCCGACCATTTGATTGAATATAAGAATTTAAAAAATAAAAGAAAACTTACAAGGATATGAAGTTTCAAGCTCCTTTGTTTGATCTAAAAACTAAAATATAAAAACTAAGAACTGGTTTGTAGAAAGAGGGAGGAGA